AAAATTTCAGATCTTAGAGACTAAACAAGTTCTCAATAATTGCAACTAGGTGACTAAAAGATATATGAAAGCATTGAAATGAGAGTAATTTTTAAAATTCTCTTCTAGACTAGCCGCTAATTGGAGGTATGTTTATGTAAGCTTTATAAATAGGTCATATTTAAGTGGAACAAAATGTAAAAGGGTAGATATGAGAGGATAGTTCATCTTATTAAGTCCCAGCTATATTGTTCCAGACTATTAACTCGGAAAACTCCAGTGATGCAATACTTTATCCAATAAAGGTGTAACCATAAATAACGGTGTATGTATACATCTAGATGCATATATCTAAATACGTAGTTCTTAACATTGATGGAAACTTTTTAGTATGACATTTGGCATATTAAATAGCTAACTGCAGTATGCAACCGAATAAATCAGTTCCCTAAAGATATTGTTTTTTTTTTTTCTTTAAGAACAATGTTGCTGTGACTATCCTTGTGATTTCACACATGAAAGAATCCTATAAGGAGTAGCTAGGTAAAAGGCATGCATATTTTAAAAATTTTCTAATTATAAAAACCAAACCCCATACATAGGATCTGGTAGAAACTGTCTTTGTGCTTTGTTAAAGTTTTGTCTCAGGCTTCTTGCTGAAGCCTGCTAAAATTGCTCTCCATAGAAGGTGTGCTAAATATACTCCACGTTTTATATGTTTTGCAGTGACTGGTTTCCTCATCAACATAATTCTCAAACTTTTTAGTCCCTTATTGTGATATATAAAAATGTTTTCTCCTGTTATTTTTTATTACATTTAAGAGCCAATTGTGTTTTCTCTTGATATGTGATCTTTTTTTTGTCTGATTGGTCTTGTTATTCATAGTTTATTTAATATGAAGGAAAAGGATCTTTTATGACATGTAAATATTTCTTTGACTTTTGGTACTTTTTTTCATGAAGATTTCTTATTTCTCTGTAGTCAGATGTTTCAGTTCTTTCATGGTTTTCAGAGTTCTTTCCTATTCAGATTACAACAACAAAAACTTTGGTTTTTCTTTTATAAAATTTAAATATTTGGTCCTCTTGAAATGAGTGCAAGGACTGAGATAAAGGCTCAGATTTATTTCTTCCCCAATGTCAGCCACTAGTTTTGGTCTTTTAACTTGTAATAGGTCACTAGGCTAGAAGACCCTATGGTCCTTTATACATCAAAGCACTGCAAACTTGGTGAGTTAATAGTATGCTTTAAAAATATTTTGCCTTTTAACAGCATCATTTTCGATAAACAGTAAATAGCTTATCTTACAATAGTATAAATACAACAGTATCTTAAATCTGACTTCCCATTACTACATATATCACTAGAAATGATTTTATTTCTTGGGAAATAGCAAGAAAATTAAAGGAGCTATTATGCCACTGCAGAAGCTCCTTTTAAAAAGAAAATAACCTTTCAGAAATAAGCCATTTTTAGGGAGTGGGGGTGTAGCTCAGTGGTAGAGCACTTGCTTAGCACCCAAAGCCCTGGGTGCAAAGTTTGGTGTGGACGCTTGTGCACACACACACACAAGCAAGCCATTTTTGGATTAGTTCTTCATGAGAGTCCCTCATGAGATGATGACATTTTTAGAGACAGGATATTTACTCATAGGAAATACGAAAACCTAGACCAGGAAAAAGCTTGTATGTGGTGAACTAAGGAGCATACAAGAAAACTCTTGGGCAAATAAAATTTTTATTTTATAGAAATTTATTAAAAATTTCTATACTGCTATACCCTAGTGTCACAAAGTGTTCTATGCATATTTGTAAGCATATAATGCCCAGGGCAAAGCGGACAGCCACTATTTAGCTCAAACAAGTAGATCAATCAATTGATGGTTCTATCCATCTATCTACAGACATCTATATATGAATATACCTATGTGTATAAATGTATATATATATATATATATATATATATACATTTTTTGTACTTGTGTGTGTATGTATATACACGCGCGCGCACACACTGTATAGATGTATGATAGAGTAATTAGATTCACTTCTGAGATTCTTGTCCGTCAATGTGGGTAGGAAAGATAACCATGGAAGACGTTCTTTAAGAGTTTTTCTCAGCATCAAATAGAAATTCCTACTGCAGGGTTCTGGGGATATCAAGTACAGGATTTATGTCCTTAACCCCAACATGAAATTTGTGAACTTACAATTATTTAACCTCTTGTATAAACATACAGCTTACTGTATATTTAATTTTAGTCACTTAGTATTTATATGGAGTACTTGAGGAATTGCCTTTTTCACTTAACATAGTATTACTAAGACTGTTTATATCTAGTCCATTCATGTTTATCATCATAATGTTTCTGTTTTACCATAATTCATCCATTCTCCTTTCAATGGGTATTCAGGTTATTATTATTATTATTTTGCTATTACAAATGGCAGCACTATAAAATTCCTGTACAGGTCAGCTAATACACAAAAGGACTCACCTTCACTAACTTCCCTGAGAAAGTCCATCAGCTTTAACAACCCCAAACCCCCACTTTTCCTGCTTAGCTCAGCAGTATCATCATTCTTGAGCTCCATTATCCATTTGTTATACCACGTTGGAGAAAGTTCTCTTAGACATAGTGAACCTGGGTTTCACTCTATTTCCCTTTTTAAAAATAGTTCGTCTGTAAACCAATTCCTAAAAACAGTTGCCCCTATATATTTTGTCCAGTTTTAGAGTTGTCTAGAATAGCCAGGGTAATGTCAATACCAATTACTATGTCATAGCTATTTTCTACTATTTAGTTTTGAGCCCACCATGGTGGCACACACCTGTAATCCTAAAGACTCAAGAGGTTAAAGCAAGCGAATCATGAGTTTAAGGCCAGCCTCAGCAACTTAGACCCTGCCTCAAAGAAGTAAAAAGGACTGGGGATGTAGCTCAATAGATTCCATGCCCAGTACAAAAAAAAAAAAAAAAAAGTTTTGATTTTATCTTAAATTAATCTAAATTCATTTGGAGTATGATTACCCATACTTTAAAAAGATTTTTTTTTTTTTTTTTTTTGTACTGAGGATTAAACCCAGGGGTGCTTTGCCACTGAGCTACATTCTCGGACCTTTAAAAAAGATTATTATTTTGAGGCAGCGGAGTCCCACTAAGTTGCTGAGGCTGGCTTTGAACTTCCTGCCTCAGACTTACTTCAGAGTTGTTGGGATTACTTGTGAGCACTGCTGAGCCCATCTTATTTACCCATATTAAAATCCCAAGTGAAATTTCATTTAAAGATAATTTAAAGGGCACAGTATCTTAAGACAACTTTCAAGATGGCACTTGGTTCTAAGAGTTGAATTGGACCACTGAAAACTACTTTCTGCTTATCATGTGAATGACATGAGGCTGAGACAGTAATTTCTTTTGGAAACCATCTTACCTCCAGTTTCTTTAACTTTTGAGGTTAATTTTCACTTATAAAGTAGGGGTAATGATATATGACATGATTTTGAAACACAGGCATACACACATAGCTTTTCTAGAGGTCTGCAGTGTAGCCATCTTCTTATTCTGATTAAAGACAGATTTTAAGACTTTGAAACCAGATAATAATAGTTAACATATTACCTTGACTGTATTCCAGGAACTTTATATGAACTTTATATTAACTCATTTAATACTAATAACAACCCTCTAAAATAGGCACTATTATTTCCCTCATTTTACAAACAAGCAAACTGTTAGTATAGAGGTTAAATAACTCACCCAAGTATTTTGTAGTGGAACAGGGATTCGAATACAAACGGTCAGACTTTGGAGTCCACCCTATTAAACTATATTATACTACCATTCAGATGAGCAGACTATAATGTCATTCCATTATAAAAATTAAGGAGCCCTCTGTCACACTTCTGTTCAGATGTACTGAACCAGGTGTAATTCACTCAGAAGTTGAAATCTACTAACCTCAACTATGAGCATTTCAAAATCTTAAAAATGAGAATTGTAGAGCAATTATTGAATCTAATTTAGAAACAGTCCTTTCTTTATTCTCCACTTGCAGGGATAATGGTCCCCAAAATCCATTCCAATTTTGTCCATTTTCACACAGATTGATTCTAATGAATAATATTTTCTTAGTGCTTTATATTTTTAAAAAGTGCTTTCACTGGACTGATTTTCATATTCATAAACTACTATTAAATATCTGGCTCAGGTCAGGTTGCTGTCATGTTTTTGAATTACATTTAATTACAGGTGGATTCTTTTCCAATTACTTTTTCCTTGGAAACGAAATATATTCCAAGATTGCCGTAAGAGACTATCTTATGAAGTAAGTGAATCCCCATTTATTCCAGTCTAGTGCTGTCACTTTTCAAATTTCCTAGCCTATCCCTACAGCAGCTAAGAATTGAAAGACATGAAACAGGCAAATGAGTTGGAAGGTCCCAAGTCAACAAAGCTACTTACTTGAATCTGTTAGCAGCCATGTTTTCTCTTGGGATGGCAGGTTTTGCACCACAAGGTCCTATGGATTATTTCTAATTTCATTCTCATATGCTTCCCTTCTCTTTGCTTTTCTCTACTCACTTGATCTGTTTGGTTGTAAAGAATTTTGATTTAAAGACACTTTCACTTTCAATAGGCAATTATATAGTAGAATACATTACCAAGAAAGATACAGGTTACTGGGATTATACTTTATAATTGGATAGGTGACTTAAAAAATTGCCATTCACAGGTAACTAGAATTATAAAAAGAAACCTTTATATTTGCAACATTTGGATGATTATAAAACTCGTAATATGTAAAATTTTTTTAAAAAAATTTGCTTCCTTCCTATAGACAGGTAAGCGCTGAGTATTCTAAGCACATGCAGCAGAATTCTAACCTAACACTCAAGCACAAAGTCAACTAGTAACTATGGTTTGTAATATTTTAGCTATAAACAGTATATCTTGTAAATTAAACTAATTCTTTAAAATGTGTAGATTTAGAAATGATTACAAATACTGAAAAACACCATGGGTTAAAATACAATATTTTATTTTTTTCTCACCTAAAAAACAAGCAACCCAGAATTAGGATATACATAAGCTTCTCAAATTTACCCTAATAAAATTTTGAATATTTGTACAATTTCTACAGAAACATACAGTGTATCAAAATCTGCATAAATCAAATTTATAAAATGTGTAGAAATGCATAGTGATATTATCAACTTACAAAGCAAGGATATGGGAATTATTTCCAAAGCAGCCTACAGTAGAAAATAGTCATTATGGCAGCAGCTTCTGATGTTTTTCACGTTTGGTAAGGTTTCTGATTTCAATATATAGAATCATGTTCATAAAGTATCTTCTTTTAACGAACTGCACAAAAAAATTTAATTTACCCATAAAATTACATGCACAGTTCATGTGCCACCTTTCTTAGACCTATGCATAGATAACAAGGTTATAATCTATTCAACATGGAAAATGGGGCCTATTTGCCAACACAAAGTAATTAAAGTACCAATTCAATTCTCTCTTGGTTTCTTTTTTATAGTTGATTTTGCAATTATATAAGCATATAAATGTATTTCTTTTAAAATATCCCTAGAAATGGATGAACATTAAAATGGCTGAGCACAGATCAGTAGCAAAATACAAACTGAAAACTCAAAATTTTGAATAAAACTGTTTAGGATGTTTAACTTTTACTCTCCAAATTTAAGAACTAAGTTTGGATGAAACAAATATGTAGGCTTTTCTTTTAAACAGATGTAGGATTCTTTCTTTTTTAGGCTTTAAAAATATTTCCCCATGGCAGTAGTTTTTTGATTCCTTTCACTGTGATGATACCATGATTACAGATCAAAAATGCTTAATTTACTTGCCATTTTCCACCTTATCACATTTTTTTAAGCACCCAACCTAAGCATTTTAATCTTTTGGGTAATAAAATACTTTATTTAGACATCAAAATTGAATACACTATTTGCAGTATTTGGTTCTCCTTTAGTAGGTACTGTCCTAGTAAATGTTTAAACCTAAGCAAATCTTTTCACTGGAAAAATGCTAATAAAAATACACTTACTAAAAAAGAAATTAAGAAATACAAGAGAATTAATACCCGATTCAACAGAAAGTAATTCACAATTGTTAATGAGTGGTATTCTTAGTAATTTAAAATATATATAGGGAATTTCATTTGGATGAAGATAAATGAAATATCAATTCACTCTTGGTTTCATAGGTTACACAACTTAGGATGTAATGCACAGGAATTTTATAAGGCTTAATCTAAAAAGGGCTTAGAAATTCTTACCTCAGCCAGAATGAACCTTTGACGTGTTTATTATAGCAGTGTTTTATTGTTTTGGGTATCCCCCGCCCTGCCCAAGTTTCAAAACTTAGATTTATTTATAGCTTTCTGTATCAACAGGTACCGGGGAAAAGTAAATCCTAAATGTAGGAGTACAATTTTTCTCTAGTTGGAAGATCCCTTTGCTACCCTAAGAGTTGGCATGAACAGATGGCACTGAGAATGCCAGCAGGTCTGGGTGGAAGTTAATGCCACACAATTTTTAAACCCCATGTACTAAAGCCTTAAGATGTTACATATCATCATTTCTTACTCAAGCCACATAACATTCAACTTCATAGCAAATGGCAGCACACAAATTCATTTCTGAGACGTCTAAGTATTCCTGATACAGGTGACAATTCATTCCATCATTACCATCCTATAAATCTCATCAAAAGGTCTTGAAAAATATACTGAGAAATGAAAGAGGCACTAAATGTGTTGAAATTCACCTTTCAAAAAAGCAGCATGACTGTGAAGGAAGGCCACCTTGGCTAATAACCTGTGGCAGTGCTTCAAAAAGATGTAAAATTAAATAAAGACACAAGAGGTTGATAATCACCAAGTTATATATGAAAGTCTGGTTACTACAACCTTTTTTCAAGTGTTTAAAAAAAAAAAAATCAAACTGCCTTTCAGACCCCTGAGTGTAATCCCAAAGAAGACAACATGCTTTTAACTCTGTTCCCACAAAACAGAGTTAAAGGCACAAATTACCAACATCATCTTAAAACAAAACAAAAAAGATGTAAACATCTACAAAGTTTAAGGTAAAAGCAGTTTTGTAAACAGTAACTGCAGATGATAATGTTACTGTAAAATCACAGTTTATCGATGTCCTTCAAACTGATCAGGAGGTTCCAGGTTTGGAGCTGTACAGAGTTAATAATAATTGTTGCAGCAGGTTTCAGGCGGTTTTCAGTCCTGTATAAATTTACTTGTCAGTAGGTAGATTATTGGTTTCTTTTATTCTTTCTAAACACTGTGGATATTATTCATTTCCCACTTTTGAGTCATTTTACTAGAGTCACAATTAGAGATGAACACTTGATGTAGGACCTCGGAGCGATCTAAGCACTTTCCTGAAGGAATGTGAGTAAATCTGTGCAGGTTCTGGAAAACACAATAAGGAAAAATGAGTTTTAAATTTGGACTCTTTTGATAGCCCTGCTATTAGCAGTCAATATCTGGCTTTCATAAGGAAATCTTTCAAGCCTACCACACCTCAGACTTTGGATTTTTCTTGATTGTCAGATTTCTAGGTCCTTTCATTGTCTGTTAAGTCTTAACATATTGCTGGTACATCAAATTCAATGTGTACAATCCTAAGTTCATCATCTTTACCCTTAAGTCTACTACTTTGAGTTCCTATTCTGGGCAAAAATGACAATACCACTTTCCAGTCCTCAGAAAATACTGCACTTTTCTTCATTTGTTTGTGTTACACCAGTTATCAAGAACTAATATTTGTAATGTTTCTGGTTTATATTTTTTCCTTCTCATCCCTACTGACTATACCTTATATTAGTCTTCATCATACGTTGTAAGTTGTTTTACTATAACTCAGTGTTTCTCAAAGTGTGGTCTGCAGACTATCCAAGATTAGATCTATAAGGTGAAAACTATTTTCAGAATACTAAGAACTAATTTACCTTTTCAATGTATTGACATTTACACCATTGGAATAAAAGCAATGGAGTAAAACCACTGGAGCCTTAGCATAAATCAAGCAATGACACCCAAATATGCTAGTAGTCATATTCTTCACTGCCACATTCAGTTAAAAAACCAATCTTGGTTTTGTTTAAGAATTGCTTTGGTTAAGTGGTTAACACTTATTAATCTTATTAAATCTTGAACCTCAAGTCTATTGTTCAAAACTACTCCAAGAGATGGAATGGGAAGTATGTATCAAATATTTCTACACAATAAAGTACAATGGTATTTTCTGGACAAGCACTTGTATAACTGATGTGAGGGATGAACTACCTGTTTTTTTTTTTTTTTTAATGAAATGTCACTGTTACTTGAAAGAATAATTCATCAACAAACTATGATTATTCAAACTTGGGTAATGGGTAGAGATTTTCTCAAAATTGAAGTGAACCTGTCGCTTCAAGGAAGAAAAAAAAAAAAAAAAAAACCTGACAGTGTCTGTTGTAATTGAAAAAATTTGAGTCTGCAAGCAAAACTTGAGTTTTGGAAAACCTGTATCCATCACCATGAGAACTGACAGCTTCACAAAAAGACCTTTTTGATGAAACCAGTAGTGGTTATATTTGTGATTTTTGGACATTGTACAATGAAATGTATTAACATTTGAAAGATTTATGTAACTTAGTAAAAATTATTTCTAAGTGAGCAATGCATGATGTTTAAAGCTCATATGGATAAAAGATTCAATCTCAAGGCCTTTCAGGGGCACTTTGTGAATGGCATCATGCCCGTGGAATAAGGTGTTTGGGAAAACAATGCCCACTTTGCTAATGTGACACAGATTGAAGATGCTGGCTCCCTGTGGGCAAAGTTGAAACTGCAGAAGGCTTCAGAAAGATGGCAGCCTGACACTGAGGAAGAGTATGAACACTCCAGTGGGAATGTTGTGAATAAGAAAACATAGGAAGATCTGAAAAGATAAGGACTGCTTAGAGTACAGGATGCAGCTCAGCCTTTGGGCTTGCCCAGGCTTCCCTGAGATCTGCCTTTTTTATTTTTCTCAACTGAATGCTCTTAAAGACTCTGCTACAAAGTCTTATGGTCTGACATGCTTCTTGTAGAAACAGGTCATGCTGGAAGACTGCAAGGTTGTGATGTGTTGTCTCTCATATATATATATATATATATATATATATAAAGATCCTGTGGGAAAATAAAATTAATCCCTTGTTTAAAAGAACGTAAGGAAGACCAATGGATTTTAATGTTTAAAACACAATCAAATTTCAGTGATATGATTTCAGATTCTACATTGTCAATAACTTTCTAACTATCAATTATTGAATTGCAGTGCAGTAACAAAGAAGAGTCACAATTTTCTGAAAAGATTATTAAATTATCCCTCTCAAACTGCATGTTTGTGTGTGTGGCAGGATTTTCCTCTTGTATGTCAACTTAACAAATTTCATTTGAATACAGAAGCAATATGAATCTAGCTGCCTTCTATAAACCAGACATTAAAGGGATTTACAAAACTCTAGAATATAATATTCTTCTATTTGCATGTGTGTATATTTTTCATTTAAAATATGGTATTTATATTACCATGTAATAAGGTGATTAGTCTTACTTTTACATGACTTAAAACAAAAAATTTTACAAATTTCTCAGATTTAATTTCTAATGCTGGAAATATTATTAGTGATAATCTACCTAAACAAAAGCTGTTTGAGAGGGAGTTTCAATAATTTTGAAGATTGTAAAGAAAGTCCAGAGATCAGAAAGTTTGAGAATTGCTGCTGGAGCTGACCTTGCTCCATCAGTTCATATCTTGCAGTATTTTTCAGGATTATTTTCCTGAAAGTATCCATTGTTTCCTATTATTATCTTTCTCAAATAATCTCAATCACTCTCCAAAACTGACAAAATGAAGTTCAATATTCTTTCTGATAGTGCATAATTTACAGATACCAAACAAAATGAGATTCTCAGAATTTCCTATATATTTTGATGGCATACCTCTGCACATCTACCTTTCTTATTTATCTTCCATGGGAAGTTTTTTTCTTTTGGGAAGTGGGGTTTGGGGATTGAACCCAGGGTCACTTTACCACTGAGCCATAACCCCAGACCCTTCTACTTTTTTATTTTGAGAGAGGGTCTTACTAAGTTGCTTAGTTACTAAGTAGCTGAGGCTCGCCTTTAATTTGGAATCCTACTGCCTCAGTTTTCTGAGTCTCTAGGATTACAGGTAAGTACCACCACACTTGGATTTCCATGGGAAGCTTTTTGTATATTTCAGATCCGGTGCAATAATACTTCCTCTGTGAAAATTGTCAGAAATAATTACTTCTATTAATCTCTCCTTTGCACTCTGATGACATTTTGCTTATTTTTATTACTGAATTTTTCTTCTCTGACATTATAGCATAGTGTGTGGCTATTTTTCAGACTCTCAGACCATCTATTGTGTCACTGAATATTAGCGAAGACTTAGCAGAGTCTGATGTACAAAAGTGCATTTAATTCAGTCTCCTTTAAAATATCTAAAACAATATATATTCCATTTTTTATCCATCACTTTTTTTTATTGGTGTTGGGGAATGAGCCCAGGGCTCTGCTCTACCACTGAGCCACACTCCCTACCCCTATCCATTACTTTTTGATGGTTATTTCTGGTCTACTAGGCTTCTTCTACTATTATACTAATATTGTTCTCACTGATCTCTACCATTCACTGCTATTCATTTTTCTTTATGAAAATAAATGCTCTGTTCTTCATGGTTTGTTAATCTTTTTCTTAACTTGTTATAAGGGAAAAGAGTAATTGACACATATTTACCACGTTTGTTAATTATCTATGAAAGATGATAACTGGGAATTATTAAGATGGGTCATAATATTATTACTACATAGCAAATAAGTGCTTACATGACAGATGGGTATGATAACAAATATTAGATGAGTAAAGTTGAGTGTTGCCATGTTCTTTCAGTTTGAAAAAGCATTCCAAATGTTTTATCTCATAATAAATTGGTTTATTTTAGTCAAATCTAGACTGTGAAAACAATCCATAACTCACTTTGATTATTCATAATTTATGTTTGATCCTCACCTTGTCCTAGAGCATTAAACAGACACAGCTGAAACAGAAAAACTATCCCAGAAATGTCATGTGAAAATCCGACCTTTAATACAAGCAAATAGATACATTTATCCTGTTGTTTTTAATTAGCAAACAATGATAAGGAAGGAGAGAAGGCTTAAGCATCCTAGTTTTATTTGTTTGTCTCTATCTCCACCTGCTGGACGACATGAAATACTAACCACACATTTTTTATGGTATTAATACATTTTACTTTAGTGAATGAATCATTTAGATTTTAAAAATCCAACTTTGAGCCTAGAACAATGGTGAGGATTACTTCTAGAATACTGATTTTCCTGAGTTACTGAAATTAGCAGTAGGTTTTCATGAACATCACTGTGACCTCATTATATGACAATATTATACCAGAGAATAAAAGTGATGCCTCATTATAAAACAATAATTCACCCAGTACTCAGGAGAACCTGTTCAAATGACTAAATGAGAGGAAAATGCAAGTCATTTTGTATGTAGGTTTTAAGATTTATTCATCTAAATTCCATGCTAGTTGCTATTGAAAATCAAACAGCATAAAACAATATTTTAAGAGTTGAAACAATACCTTGAAGTACTGCCATTCCTTAAATTCATTTAGATTACAGTGCATAATCATAACTTTTGTTCCATCAGGCCCTTTTGCCAAACACTGGTCATACTGCATGAGCTGATTTGCTTCATTGATTCGGAAAAGCTATTAAGAAGAAAAAAGGAAACAAATAACAGAGGCAACTTCCCTACTCATATGCACTTTACAAAAAAAGAAGGAAAAAAAAGGAAGAAAGGGAGGAAAGGGAGAAGAGGGAGGGAAGCAAGGAAGAAAGGAAGAAATTAAATTCCTATAATAAAGCTGAATATCTAACTTATTGTTTTATAGTTTTGTGTGTTTGGAACTGTTATTCCGCAGGCTGAAGTTGATGAAGATCTCTGTAAACACTTAAACAATTGTGTTCTTTAGCCTCTAAAATACAGAATGGGTCATTAACACATACTTATTATGTATTATTATGTGAGAAAATGAAAAATTGTAAAGACCTGATAATATTTCATAATCTAAATTAGACATAAGAAAAATACCCAAATAAGGTAGTAAGAAAATATATTAGTAAAATACATTACTGTCAGTGATACTCTACTTTATTGAAGTGACAAGTACCTACTCAGAAAATATTTTAATCTCTTACATATAGACATCACTCCTAGATTCTGCTTGTTATGTCCAAGACTGCTATTATTCCCTTACTTAAGTGATGTTTTAACATTGTCAATTCTTTAAAGAATGTTTTATTTTATCAGAACAAAAATACTGGGCTTGGGGATGCAGCTCAGTGGTGGAGCGTTCTCCTAGTATGCATGAAACCCTAGGTTTGATCCTTGGACAGGAGAAAGCAAAAATCAAACTGAAAACAAAACTAAATCCTGTGATCAATAAATCCTGCATCTCTCAATGCTGACCAATGTATATGCAAAACAAGGTGATGTACCTGATTTCCTCCCATCCTGTGGCAGGGTCCAAGTTCAACAATACCTCCATTTGTTTTTCCCATGCTATCAATGCAGTAAGCAGTTTCAAAGCCTCTGATCTAAAAATATAAACAAAGGATCAAAAAGCAAGAAATGCTTTAGTTCTTTAATAAGCCCTAATATCAGAGTAAAAGATTTTCATGTTAAATATTGCAATTTGCAAGGGAAATCTGGGGGTGTCTATTGCCAGGTTATTATGGCATTGTCAGTCTTTAAGTCATTTTGAGCAAACCAGTCATCTTTGAAATTCTGATCTTGAAGTCAACACTGGGATGAGCTCAAGTAAGGGTAGAGGCCTTAAAATACCACAGGGGAAAAAATAAAATGATACCATAAGTACAATTTCAGAATCATAACAATTCACACGAATGAGAAACAAAGAGAATAAAGCTACCTTACCACAGTGGCAAAAGACACTGGCCCTAGGAATTTAGAGCAGAAGTGGATTTGTAAGAACTCACAGATAGCTTGGGGCACTATTTTTCCTAGTTGTCTCCAGGAGTCTCTAGGCAAACATCATGGCACAGAGGCCTGGCAGTGAGGTTTTTCTCTAACTTTGGATAATATAGATGAAAAGCAAACACAGATTTCCACCTCTGGAATGGAACTTTGTATCAAAATAACTACTTTTAGAAATACTATATATTTATCTCAATTATGCATCACTATAGTATTTGAATAAAAAGTCACATTGATTCATTCCCAGCAAATATTTACTATGTACTATGAAGAAAGAGTTTTTGAAGATACAAAGATGTGTAAGTCAGGGTCCTCCATACCCTCACAGTCTGTAAGGGGATACAGGGCTAAGTGTCAGCCTGTAGGGAGGATCTGGAGGAAGCAGTCTCTCACCCTGCATGAGGAGCTCTGAAGACTGCCCAGGAGGTATTTTTTATTATAATTATTAGTGCATCTGTACAAAATAATGGGTTTCTTTGTGATATTTTCATACATGCATATAACATACTTCAATCATATCTACCCTGTTACCCTCTTAAACTCTCCTGGGACCCTCTCCCAGTCCATTCCTAATAGTCCCCCTTCTACTTTCATGTCACAAAGACATCTTTTGAATAGATAGGGTTTTACCCTGTAATGTTCATGAAACGCTGAGAAATGAAGTGTAAAGGGCAGAATGGGGAGAGTTGAAATGAAAATGAATTTAGAAATGAGATAGTAAAAGGAGGACAGAAAATGCTATCCATCCATTCATCCATTCACTCATCTATTCATACATTTACTCATTCATCAAATACTAAGTAAATACCTATTGTGTGTCAGGTATGTTGTAAGGTTTGCTACTCCCGTGAATAAAACAGACTCGAATTTCTAGGGAAGGAAAGAGACTACATGCAAAAACAAAACAAAAACACCATAATAGTCAAATTATTATGTTAATTACAGATAAGTGCCATGGGGAAAAAAGGAGAAAAGAAGAGCAAGTTAAGTGGGGAAAGGGCTAGTGAACTGAGGGGTGTACTACATGGTAAGTCTCACTGAGAGGGTGACAAGTGTACAAACTTGAAGGAGGTGCACAAGTTAAGACAAGTCCGCAGATGTTTAAAAGAAAGCAGTGTGGGCAGAGGGAACAGCAAAGGCAGGAGTACATCTGGAGGAAGCCTGAGGACCAGTAAGGCCAATGGGACTGGAGTGGAGTGGAGAGCGCAGAGCAGGTGAGGCGAGAGAAACAGGGCAAGAGGTGCAGGCCTTGGCCATCAATGAGGAGGTTGGTTGCCTTTGCCTGAGAGAATGGGGTGTGACTGCAGGTTTTCCAACAGAGGGGAGACAGGACTTGACTTGCATTTCAAAAGGCTCACCCTGAGTTCTTGCAGTTTAGAACAGGCTCTAGGAGGTCAAAAAATTTAGTATTGGTCAGATTTGATGGTGACTTAGACCAAATTAAGAACTGGATGTGAAGTGTACGAGGATTCAAAGAAGACTTTTAAGTTTTTGGCTTGAGCAATCCATCAGCAGAGATGGGGTGGGGAAGGAGAGATGGAGTTCAATTTTAAGTATATTGAGTTTGGAATGTCTGCTAGACATTCAAGTGGAGTCATCAAGTACACAGTTGAATATACTTGTCTGGGTCCTAGGAGAGAGATTTGAGTTGAAGATGCATATCTGAGAATCATCAACAGAATGATAGTGCTAAAGCCATGAGACTAGATAAGATCAGTACAATTCATCCCTCTCACAGAGAAGAAATTCTGAGAGATTAAAAGATACCCAAAATGTGGTCTGAACTCCCAAAAGCTTATGCTTCACTTGGAAGTCAAACACAATTTGCTGTAACTGGAAAGATGAAATAAGAGTACAGGAGAGAGAGGTGTGGTAGGAGGAGGTATTGAAATGAACTACCAACAAAATAGTTCAATTTCCTCATAGACACCCTATTTCTACTCTACATTTCCAAACAGGGTGATTAAAAATAAACTATGAATCAAATTATATTAGCGTTTTTTTTGGGTCTCACGACCTTTGTGGTATCCTGTGAAAGTGGTTTGCCAGTGGTTCCTTTCTGCTGAGAATATTGGATCTTCCTTCTGCCTTTGTAATTTCTACTATCTTCCCTTTTTCAGGGGGACTCCAGCTCTGGTACATGTGACCTCCTGGCATTTCCTGGAATTTGCCTGTCTTATCCAAATCTCTAATGAATGACTTGCACAAGAATCTGTCTGTGGTCGCTGGTGGGTGCGGCGTGGGGACGGTGACCAAGATGCCAAATCAGGATTAGGTACTAAGCAAGTTTAGGTACTCAGCACTGAGTCTCCTAGGGACCTTTTTTCAACATGGCGGCGGGCGCGGAGAGATCAAGTCTCTGACCTCTTCAGCTGCACGGGCATAGGGAGTCGTAAATTGTCTAAATGCTGTTTGCTCAGGATCACTAGGCAATGCTGAGCTGACGTGGATCTGGGGCGAACAGTCTGGGCCCCTCAGAACACACACACCAAGCCCGGATCGGCTGCATTCAAGTTCGCCTGCTTCTCGTGACTCAGCACTAACGATCCCGCTGAAATAACTGGTCGGCCCATCTGAAATTATAGAGGTAAAAGCCAACCGAGCCTTCATAGGCAGTGGCCACAGGATTGAAACGGAGCTTGGGAAAGACAGTCAGGACCCACCCGTTGCATTGGTCACCCGGCAAAGGGAACAAACGGTCACCATTTGCACGGGATACCACCATGGCAGAGAACTGACGTCACGGGCGGAGGAGATAACTTCATTGAAACCAGGGCGACAGGTGTGTAATCCCCTAGCCATCTCTCTCCACACAGCGGGGAAACCTTAAGGGCCCCTCCCAGCTCTCCTGTGAGCGCGATAGCCAGACCGAGGGAATCAGGAGTGGCGCGGAACTCCCGGCTACCGCTCCCACCAGTGCTGACAACTGAGGTCTCTTATACCAGCTACCGGGGGCGTGGCTACCGGAGGGAAAGCAAATTCGCTGGGGGTTCTGAGCCCCAAGCTCTACAAACTTAGGGTCTGAGGGAGGCAAACATGGAGAGTGTGCCCAGGCGTTTATGAAAACAGGGCTCCCAGGAGCAGCAGACCTGGCGTGTAGCCAGTATTGTGGTGAGCGTCACAGGTGAGTGGGGCCTGGCTTGAGGAAACACAAGACAAGGCCCTAGACACTCAGGATTGGAGACCCGCCCAGTCTGGGAGGAAGAGCTGCTGCACAGTGAATGGTTCCCTCCTATTGGAGGAGAAGCTTGGCCCAGTGAGCACAGCTCCACCTACTGGAAGAGAAGTTAATAGAACTCTATGCATTTATTATTATTATTATTTTTTTTTCTTTTTCTTTCATTTTCTTTTTTTTTTGTTGTTCTTTAACTTTTTTAAATGTTTTTATATTTTTTAAAATTCTTTTATTTTATTATTATTATTATTATTTTAAATTTTAATTTTCATTTTTTATTATCATTATTATTTTTTTAATTTATTTTTCTTTCTTTCTTTATGTTCTATTTTTTCTCTTTTGTCTTTTCATTTCTTTTCAATTTTCTTATTCCCCATTCCTTGAATTCTACCTGCCTACTCCCATTCTCTTTAGTGACTTCTTCCCTTCCCTTCTAATATCTTTCCTCCCAAGCATCAAATAAATTTATAAGAGTAAACAGTAACTCAGCAGTCAAACAGAACAAGAAGTAACATGAGCAGCATAAAAAAGCAAGTAAGAAAAGGAGTACAAACAATGAAGGACAGCCTAAATATTCAGGAGGACCTAGAGTCAGCAGAAAAATGGTCATATAAAGAACTCAAGGAATACTTTAGACAGATGGAATGGAACCTTAAAGAGGATACGAGACAGCAAATCCAAACAGTGAAAGAACACATTGAAAATGAATTACATAAACAGATAAAAGAAGAAGTTAAGCATATTCATCAGGAGATAGAGATTATAAAAAACAAACAAACAATAATTCTAGAAATGAAGGAAACGATAAACCAAATTAAAAACTCAATTGAGAGTATCACCAACAGAGTGGAGCAAGTAGAAGCCAGAACGTCAGATAATAAAGATAAAATATATCATCTTGAAAAGAGTCTAGCCAACTCAGAAAGGCTGGTAAAAAAACCACGAGAAAAACATCCAAGAGATATGGGATAACATAAAAAAACCAAACTTATGAGTCATTGGGATAGAGGAAGGTACAGAGATTCAAACCAAGGGAATGAGTAACCTGCTGAATGAAATAATTACAGAAAACTTTCCAGAAATAAAAAAGGAAACGGATATACAAATTGTAGATGCATACAGGACACCGAGCACACAAAATCACAGTAGACCAACGCCAAGACACATTGTTATGAAGATATCCAATATACAGAACAAAGAGAAAATATTAAAAGCTACAAGAGAAAGGAGGCAGATTACATTCAGGGCCAGGGGTAAACCAATAAGGTTAACAACGGATTTTTCATCACAGACGCTGAAAGCAAGAAGATCCTGGAACAACGTATTTCAAACACTGAAAGACAATGGATGCCAACCAAGAATTCTGTATCCAGCAAAATTAAGCTTCAGGTATGACAACGAAATAAAAATCTTTCATGATAAACA